TCTATCGCAGGGAAATCAGGCATCCATTCCTATCTGTCAACTAGCCAAGGGGGTGTCCGGCGCTGGCGTCCCGAGCTGTATGGCTGCGCCAGACTCAGGACCTGTACCTCCTTGGGTCTCCTCTACTCTATTTTGCTGGCCTCGTCCCCGTCCGCTACCTCTTCCTCGTCCCCGACCTCTTGCCCGTCTTCCTGTAGTCCCCCGAGCCCGCGAGCCCTGCCGCCGCCGTCGTCAGCCATCTTGGCGGGTTGGTTGCGGGTGGTGGGGGTTGGGTGGGTTGGATTGGGGATGGTAGTATTGTGTACTAGTGATAATGCAACGGTATTCCTCTAGTGCGTTTAAAGGCTTCTGAATAGCTTCAGATCGCGCTCAGTTGCGTGGTAACCGCCGAGGTAGTGGTGGTGGAGAGGGGTGCACCTTCGCACCTGCTTGTAACGGGCTGAGCCCTGCACCTGCAGTGAGCCTCGTCCAGGTGGTCTGTGCGGACCCCGTACAATTAGGTTGGCGACCCCGTACAATCAGAGATACTTCTTGTTGCAAAGCTCGCACTATCCTAATTTTCTCCTATATCAAGCCCAGTCCCTCACACTGTTGCAACGCCCAACCAGCTACGGTGGATGCCACACGTCCACCTGTCTTCCGTAGTATAGTGGTCAGTATGTGAGCTTGTCATCGCACCAGGCTCCTCCTGGTCCAGACACCGCTCGAGACCCGGGTTCAATTCCCGGCGGGAGAGTCAATCGTGATCCACTTGGACCGTTCTATCTTTTTGACTTGGTTTTGCTCCCTTTCACATCGACCTCGGTCCTTACGCTTGTTGGCATCCCTTTACCCTCCCTTCCTCCCCCCCGCCCTTGCCACGCAATTCCTCCCTGGATCAGCCCCGGTACGTAACCACCTTCCCAAACGTGTCACTCATCCCCCAGATCCCCTCCCTCAAGCAGCTCAGCTGCACAATCTGCGAATGGTCCACAAACAGATTCACATCCGCCCCAAACTCCCTCACATACCAATTAAACACCCTGGGCTCCGCCGCCTCAAACATGACCTTCTCCTTGGGCAACCCAGCCAAGACGGCCTGCACCACGTCCGTCCGCCAGGCCTTGACATTCTCCGTGATACCTTCGCTCTCAATCATGATGCGCTCCACGCCAGCCTCCTCGATGAAGCGCTTGGCCAGATCGACAATCTTGGACTGGTCCGACGTCCCGCCGCCGCCCTGGCCCTGCAGCGCCTCCAGCTCGGCCGCGTCCGTGTCGCCGCCGGCGCCGAATTGGATGCCGATCTCGGGCTTGGCCGTCAAGCCCTCGGCGTGAACGCGGTCGATCAGGCGCAGCCAGTCGTCGGGCGGCAGGGAGAGAAAACCGGACGAGATCTCGATGACGTCGAACTGCAGGGCTTTGCACTTTGCGAGGTAGCGCGTGATGGCGGTAGATGGGTCGGATTGGGTTAGGATGTGCTCAATCCAACCGCCCTGTTTGCATTGGTCAGTACTTCCCATGTTCAGACCTAGTGGCTCTTTAAGAACAGGGTGCCGAACGCATTGGCTGAAGCGGCGCGATGGAGATGGGAAAGGGGTGGCAGACCGTAGAGACGTAAACGCAGTGCTCGTGGGCAAGCTCAATCAGCTCGCGCAGCTTGTCCTCGGGGAAGAGGGAGAATGAACCGCCCGCGAACTTGAGCCCGTCAATGTGGTGGCCCATGCTGTTTATTCACAACCAGTCAGCCCGAGGATTACACCGTTGCTTGCCACATCGCTGACGAGGGCAACTCACGTCTCGAGAACGTCCTTCAAATAGTGCTTCCCCATCACGGAGTAGTACGGCCCTCTGATCTCGGTGACGCCGATTTTCCGCGGCTTTGGGGGACGCGGGTTGTGGCGGATGAAGCCGAAGGCGTTTTCGTCTTCGAGCATGACCTTTGGCTGCTTGGACGCGGCATCACGGTGTGAGCCCTTTGTGGGCTGGAGGGCGGTTGTGGAGAATGCCCTGAAGTTGCAAGACTTGGCCAAGTGACGATATGCCGCCCCAGGCAGTCGCTGCATCGCTGGCCGAAGGAAGGTTGAAATGTGCCGAGAGGCCATTTTCGTGGCTGAAGCCCAGTGGCGCTTGGTCGGCGGTGTCGTGCTGTTCAGGGTTTGGTGTTGGCGACTCGAAACTTCGGGCCTCAGAAGACTCAATACGATGTGGATGGCTGCACGTGGTGTGCAAAGTAAGCTGGGAAATGAAGAGAATGAATTCGATGATCGTCCAAAATCTGATAATTAGTCCTGACAGCATTTATTAGTAGAAATGTCAGGTTGGTCGGATTCCGTGTTAGTGCCGCCGAGTGACATCACCGTCCGGCTCGTCGTGGCCTTTTCAGTCAGGACCAACGTCACATCAAGCTCTGTAAAGAAAGACAGTTATGGAAACCAAAAGGGACCCCAAACTCATGATTGAGTTATCCATACTCTAAGCCTGCTTTTGCCCCAACGCAAACCGTCGCGACGACAATTGGTTCAGAGGTATGGGTAAGTAGCGATTTCCTCCTCCAGTGTGTTGAGGGCAGTGGGGGAGCCTAGAAGCAGTACGGCTTGTGGGGTGCGGAAGGTCGCATTGGACAAGATTCCCACGCGCGCCGGTAAGGACGCACAATGCCGCCCATTGGTGGCGGCGCTCCTCATCGCGCGCATCAAAAACGTTCTAGCCGCGGCCGCCGTCCCTGGCACCCTTGTTATTGTTATTCCGACACACAAAGATGTTGTGCAGGAAGCGACCGTTCCTCCCATGAGCGAGAACCCCGCAAGCGAAGACCTGGAGAGACGCTATGGCTTCAGGCCCAAAAAGCCCACTCTACCAGCTCTCGCAGAGGTTCGATTAGCAACTCCTGCAGCGTGCCATGGGAGGCGACGCAGATACGGCCCTGATGGAGATCCAAGCCAGGCAGTTCGTTCCGTGTCTGGTTGAGAAACAAGGATCCTCTTTTGTATGTGTCACGACCGGTTTGACGAAGATGGAGAAGCCTGAGGGTCGGGCTTGTAGTGCCTGGCCGCAATAGCGCCGGCTGGAACACACGAGTCTGCTGCTGCGTGCACCACATTGGAGAAGAGTAAAGTGACAAAACCCATAGTTGGCTCGGCTGATCAGACAATCCCATATTCTCGAACTGTAGGGAATGCAGGGGGTTGACTTCCAGATCCTATTCCAGCGACTCCGAAGCGATACGGCATTCTCAAGGGTCAGGGGTACGGAATCAGAATCAATCTCGTCATCATCGGGTTGATCCAGATACAACCTCTTGTGACCCACGAATCTCTTGAGAGTCCGTCTGTGCCGCACCGTGGCACGCCAAACATCCGGCTGAACCACATCGGTTTCCCAGATTCCAGTAAAGAGCTCCTCCAACCCCTCAAACGACCGGGCAATCGAGCAACAGGCCACCACCCGCCGTTTCCATAGTCGGCACACGCCAATCCGAGACCTCTTGAGCTAGACTGGCGTCGCAGATGCCAAGAGCGATGCGAGTAAGTGCTCCCAGTCGAGCAGTTCCATAGAGTAAATTACTCGAGGGCGCCAAAGTCAATGGTTCGAACGAGCGCGTTACTGGTCCTCTCGTCGATCGGGAGCGAATCCAGCGAAAGGACGCGCAGCGAGGGGAACATGGGTTCCGGTACTTGGTAAACGCTCGCCGACAGCAAAAGATCAACAAGCAGGTCCAGCGCGGGAATGTCGGGGTCGCGATGAACTTGGCGGTAGATATAAACCCAGTCGGCGGGGGAGAGAGCCAGTTTTACTTGCTTGAGGTTGTATGGATTATTTTGTATTGCTTGGGACAAAGCTTCGAAATTCTCCGAGGGGAAGCTCCCCAGGAGATGCGCTTAAGCCCTCTGAAGAGCGACAAGTCGACTACGTTGCGCTCGATGTTCCCAGAACAGAGAGATGAAGTGGTGGACCGGGGGATTTGAGTTGCGGTTGACGTTCACCGAGTGCTGTGATCAAGTTGGGCGGAACGCAGGCTCCAAGTCCCACCAGCAGCTGCTGTAAGCATGGTTTCGTCGAGCGCCTAGAGCGGAAGCCGGCGGAAGAAAGTGGCCGAGTTCTACGTTACCTGAAATCACGCAACGTATGTTCGCAAGATCGGAAGCGGCACTCGAATGTGAGCTGGGGCGCGGGGCGCATGGCGGCTGAAGCATGTCGCAAAGCGCGGTCACACCGGGCCATTGACTTGGCGTCCATCTTATATTCGTCTTCAATTTTTGCTTTGGACATTGACACGGATGCCTTTCCAGACGGCATTAGCAAGCGCCAAGTTGAGGGACTTTGAGACTTGAGATAGTGCCTTAACATCGCTGGGCATTAGCTGCAGCTCGGATCAGCGGTGAACTTTGTAAGGGGGCGGATAGAAGTGGCCCAGTGGGAGAGGCGCCATGAAAACACCTCGCCAACAATGATATCAAGCGCTCCTGTGGCAGGGTTCGAAACATGATGTCGTTCAAGTATCGAGCAAGCTTCAGTTTGGGAACGGAGGCGCGAGGATGCACAGATTATTGGCAAACAGTGTGGGGACTAGATCGCTAGATCGCTGAATCGTTCGTTGTCAGAGTCAAGAGTCAAGACCCCACTTGACTCGCACATAACCACCCAAAACAGCCTTAACCCTCTCCAAGTGCTCACTTTGAGTCACGTCTCGTCTCGAGCAGAGGTTAAATTAAAGCACCTCGTCTTTCCATTCGACGATATTACACTGTCCTGGTTGCGACAGACGCCTCTCTAGGTCCGAAGTATGGCCAGCGAAACCTGTTCTTCGGCGTATCGCTTAGCAACCACACCTCATCCAAAAGTGTTTCGGCAGTGAGAAGACAGCACGGAGCACATGATTAACGACCGACACAATTACAACGGCAGCACGATTATGTAGTAACATCTCTAAGGAACGTGGCTATCGTTCGTTGCAAGACATTATTTCAAGCAGCAATGACGGTTCTCGCACTTACTGCTAGGGCCGCTGCTTCGGTGCGCCCTCAAGGCCTACCCGATCAGAGACACGTCACATGTAAAGCCCTCGAGCCAGACCAACTACCTTAGTCTCACGTTTGTCTTTCCCACATATGCATGACGCGCGAACGGTTAGAGGTGAATCTACGAAGCATTATGGCTCAGTGACGTCTCCCCGCGGTTTGTCCATAATCATAACAACGCGGTACAGCAGCATACAGTACCACTCTTGACTCCACATGCGATTGTGACCTAATGACTTTCCTTCCCTCCAACTTCCTAGACCCTCACTCGCCGACGTATCTTAGCCTTACGACCACTCGTCCAACTTGGCCTCAGAAGTCTCGGTCCCGGCTTAATCCGCCCCGTGGTTCACCTTCACGAGCCCCAAGAGATACCTTGGAAGCTATCGATCCAGCTTACGGTTGAGCACACAAAAAGACACATCGAGTCCGAGTCATCCACGACAGATTTGACCACTGTTACGTCAAAACCATCACATCAAAGGGCAAGTGCTGCAACTCCTCCGACCAAAAGCACTAGAAAGGCCCGGGTCAGGTCCCGATTCTAACAACTCTCGCCCAGTTCCCAGTTCCCGCGAAGTGGTATAATCGCCGCGCTTGCTGATCACCCGAGCACTTGCTCAGAACCTCGACGAAATGAATCTCAAACTGGTTCCCGTGCCCGGGAACACTACCGACGACGGCCGCGGCGAGCTACTCACTGAGGTTATGACGCAGTGGTTTTCCGTCTGGCTTGTCACGCTGCAAGTCCCGCTCACCATAATCCGTTTTGTCGCGGGACATTTCGACGGCGAAGATGTTGCTCGGGCCCTTGGCGACGAGCTGCGTGACGTTGTTCAAATAAGTTTCAATGCTTCTCTGGGTCTGTGGTTGATTGTCGCGTCGATCTGCTGGGTCACTGGGGACTCGGATGTGACGGGGTTTGAGCTTTTCAAGCTCGTGATGCATGGATCGGCGGCCGTGCGGTTCAAGCGCAGTATTCTTCCAAGCTGGTCATTGCCGGGGATTGTGCTGGTCCAGGGAGCCGCGCGAATCGGGAGCATGTGGGATATAGCAGTGACAAGCGGGAGAAGGCCAACCCTGATGCAGGTCTTCGCAATAGCGGCAGACTTGTATACTACTTTCAGACAATGGAAGACTCTCCATGCGTTATATATTGAAGGGGTCTGAGGGATCACATCTGGGGAATGGTATGGCGTATGTAAGTAGGGGCTGGATCAATACACACCGTCAAAGTATGCCGAGCTTGCAGCCGAAATACAAATCCGGGGTATCTGAAACGCGGTTCGTTATCCAATGACAGATGAGATATTCTACAATAAAGATGCTTGTGATTCCGCTTCTCTTCCAGCTCTCCTTCCTCTCGCATTGCGCGCATCACAGCTCATCCTTCCCGGCTCTCTTGGCCTCCTCGACGCTCTTTGTCTCCCCCGCCTTCTCCGACTTCGCCGCCTCTGTCTCCTCTCCCTTCTCGGCCGCCTCCGGTCCTTGAGCGATCTCCAACACATCCTCTTCCACCTCGCCCTCCTTCAGCTTCAGCACCTGCGCCTTGATCTGGAACTCGATTTCGCGGTCATTCAACTTGGGCGACGTGTGTTGGACGGGGTACGCGACCACGCGGCCGTCGGCGAGTTTGGCGGAGTACTTGGAGAGGTCAAGCAGCGATTCTGTAACTCATGTCAGCACCAACCCCACCCATCAATCTAGCGAAAGGAACAGCCAACTCACCCTCGCAGTCACTCCCCTCAGCCACCCAAAGCGGCAGCATCTCATAGATAGCCCCCGGCGCAAACAACACCACCCTCCTGTCGTCCTTGCCACGCCACTCCTCGCTGACGGGCACCTCCTCCGGCACCTTGATCGTATTCATAACCCTCGTGCCGGGCGCGGGCCGCCCATAGATGGCAAACAGACCCCTACCAGGCCCGTCACTCCTCTCCTGCTCCTCGATCCACTCGCGCACCTTGAGCGGCATCGCGTCGTAGTCCATGATGAGCAGCTTGCGGTCGTAGCCGTGGGGGTCGATGCCGTCCCAGCTACCCGGGTACTCACGCGCCGAGAAGACAGACCGGAGCGCGTCGCGGTACGCGAGCAGGCCGTTGGGGCCCGGCTCGGACAGGTCGTCGAGGAGGTGCTCTCGCGCGGTAAAGGTGCGCTCGGCTTCGCAAGCGGGGGTGTACTTCGCGTATCGGGGCGAGGCGAAGGGGTTTGGCCAGCGCCAGGACGCCATCTTCTCGGGCTTGCCCTGCAGGCGCGGGGGCTTGTCTGGGGATGCGGGGCCGATGGCCGTGGCTGTTGCGGCGAGCCAGGCGGCTGTGAAGAGGGCGTCGAGTCTCATTCTGAATGCTGCGTTCTGGTTTCTGAAGCAGGTGTTGCTTTGCTGGCAGATTGTCCCAGTCAACGCGTTTGCAGAGCCGGCAGGACTAATACAACCTCAACCTGGCGCAGCGGTTGAGGAGGAGAGAGTGAGCAATGAATCCACGGCTGAAGTGGGAGAAGACGGCGCTGAAGCCATTGTCAACGGAATTGGCCACAGTCGCCGGTAAATAGCCCTTTCATGCTTCTCCATCACGCAAAACCGATGCGCTGTCCTCCGGAGTGGCCTGCCCGAACTTCCAGATTCGAGCGGTTCAAGCAAGGGTCCAGATGGGGAATATGGAGAACGTTGCCGATGATGCGGAGCATCCCCGCACTCTGGTGTGTGGGGAGCAAGGTTGGCAGTTGGTGGTTGGGGACCGGTGTGGGGTCCAGTCAAAGAAAGTGAGGGTTAGTAGTTGTTACAGTAACTATGACCACTTGTGTTCTAAAATTTCTTGAGAACCACAAACACCCAAAACCAGCGATTTTGGAGGACACGACGGTCACAACCTCTGACAGGTCCTGCTCGCGCCCGACAAACCGGCTTGTCCATTACACTCGATCAACGTCTATCCTGAGTCTATGGGCTACTGTACACTGTGAATACGCAGAATTGCCTTGGCTTTCTTCTGGGCAGCGAGGTGAGCAGACGAGTAGTACGAAGCCCATTTTCTTCTCCATGTCTAATTAATTGCCCATTCCACTTGTAAGGGACTCAAGCCAATTAATCATTAAGCGGCCGCAATGATGTATCTTGTCAACACCGGAAATTGAAAAAACCCTCCCCAGCACACGAGTCCCGCGGCAACATCCGATTGAGCATCTTCGGTCTCTGTTGCCCGGACCATTACTGACGACTAATGCGAAGTTGGAGGGAATTGGCGTGCGAAGGTCTTGTATGTCATAAGAGTCTCAAGCCCGTGGACGGCAACTACCTTTTGTAAGTCTTATATCCATACCGCATCTCATCTACACTCTGCTCATCTCTAAAGCTCTACTTACAGGCGGACCTTGCCATACGTCGAGCCAATCTCGCCCCAGCGCAAGTTACTGTACGTGACCTCCGGGTTGGGCTGGACCTTGACAATCTCGGTAGGGTGGCCCTCGGTGGCGTTGCAGGGCCCGGCCTCGCCCGAGTCGAGCCAGCGCATGTTGCCGCCCTCGTCCCACCAGATGCTCATGGCGAGCACCATGCCGCGCGACATGGCCTCGCCCATCCCCTGCATGGCGCCCAGGCTCAAGAACTTCTCGGCGCCCGTGGCCGCGCAGAACTCGTCCGTCATGCTGTCCGTCTTGGGCAGGCCGGGGACGTCGACCGTGTGTGATTCGATCACCTTGCCATCTTGCACGTACAGCCGGTGGATCTTCTCGAGCTTGCCGCGGCGGTTGGCGGGGAACTGCGTCACGACGCTGAAAGGGCGAGACGTGTCCACCTTGAAGGCGTTGCTGTTGCCGTAGTAGTCCGTCACGTTGACCCGGTACGGGTTCCACGCGCAACCGTTCTTGTCGCACACGCCGTCGAACTCGCACTCGGCGCCCTCGCAGAGGTACAGGCCCTTCTTGTTGCACGTGTGCGGGGCGACGTGGCTGGCGCGCGAGTTGGCCTCCCAGATATCCATCTCGTTGCAGCACGAGCCCTTGCCCTCGATGTTGCCCTGTTGTTTGTTCAAGGTCAGTAGTCACCCAACCTGAGCGGAAGTAGTGAGGAGAGGAACTGGTAACGTACCACACCGTTGATGAAGGGCGTGGTGAAGCACTGGGCGTCGCAGTAGCCCGTGCCGTAGTAGGCGCCGCCAGGGTTGAGCTTGCTGCGGGCGCCCGTCTTGTCCATTTCGGAGAGGTAGAGGGCGCTGTTCATGCCGCAGGGCAGCTTGGTGGCGTCGACCTCAAAGGTAAACTCGTTGCCGGTGAGCTGCAGCATCTCGTACTCCCTCTCGGACTTGTCGAGCAGGTAGACGCGCGGGCTGACCAGCTTGCCGTTGAGCAGCTGCTGCAGCTTCAGCGACGTGCCCGAGGTGGTGACGCCGTACTGGCTGTAGTCGGGGATGCCCTCCATGATGCAGTTCTTGGCGCACGCCTCCTTGGTCGGGCACACGGTCGCGTTGGGCGGGTTGCCCCAATCGCCGCAGCCGAGCGTGCTGCCGACCTGGTGGACCGGGTGGGTCAGCGAGTCCAGCACAATGTAGTTGGTCTTCGCCTTGCACCCGTGCTTCTTGGAGCAGCGGTACGTGGTGATCTTGGGGTGCACCTCCTTGCTCTCGCCGGGCTTTTGGCCGTTGGCCAGGCCCAGGAGGAGCGAGGCGAGGCCGAGAAGAGCGATGCCGCGAGCCATTGTGTCGAGTCTTTGTCACACCGTCTTGTCAGAGGGGAAGCGAGGACTGGAGAGACCGGAGAGATATCGTGGGACGGCCCGGCGAAGAGGCCCAATATATAAGCTGTCGTCTTTCATCCTCCCGACTCTTCGATCCACCCTCTCCTCACCCCAAGAATCTTCTATCTTGGGTCTCCGCACGGAATGCGGCCCCAGTGTCACCACGGGAGCGCCGCCATTGGCAGGCTACAACCTTCCATGGCTTCCAGCCGAGCTTCCAGCCGCTTCCTCGGGGAAGCTCGCGAGTGCCATGGCGGGAAACGGGCAGCGGGCCCGGGTTTCCGGTGTGGATGACCTGCAAGGGACGGTGCCAAGCGAGATCTCGGTTGGTACAATACATGTCTGCGGCTCAGGACTGTTGGTTCAGCGTTGCATTGCGAAGGTTTGCCAAGCCGGCCTAAAAGGCACCACCGGACATTGAGGGACCGAGTTCCCACGTCTGGAATGAGCTACTGAAAATGCGGGGGAGAAGGTGGAGAGGTCTCCTGGCAGAAGATGGAAACCTGGGTTGACCGGTCAAACGAATGACTTCCAAGCTGGGCTACAACGTGGGTTTGTGGTGGCTTCTCATCTCGTGGAGGGGATTCTGGCGAGCAGGGGGGAACCATACCAGGGAGTGAGACCCGGGAACTCGAGCCGTTTTTACTTTCTCCTTGAACTTGTCAATGAACTGATAGACAGACCTGTATTAACCAATCAACTTAATGAAGCTGACTACAAGTCCAATGTACAAGGAGCCACAATGATAGCAGAGCTCGAACAGTGCACAATGGCTGCGTGAATTACCGAGCTTCTCTCGGTGTCCCCACAGCCAGATAACCTCGCTGTCCAGTCCAAAACACCTGACTTGAGCCATTACAAGTACATTCTCCCATACCAATCAAAGCGGCTTCGTACTTGAGGTGCTCTTTTGGCCAAATTGTGAAGGCAACACCAGGGCCATAAATGTCTCTCAGGGGAGACGACTCATAGAGGTAGGCGAGTAACCAAGTCTCACGGTCCATGATGCTGTCCGCCTGGCTCACGCTGGCTCTGTGTACCCTATGTCCTCAGTCTACCCCTCAGGATCAAAGTGAACTCGAGTCCGCTTGATGTTGATCACCTCAACCCCGCGCCCTTTCCATTTCTTCCGGAGGATAGGGATCCCACTCGAATCCGCTTCCGCCGTCGCATGTTCCACTTTGCTGCACCAGCTCAATTCCACGCTTTTCGGAATTCCGGGCTGGCCACAAAACCGAGGGAAGAAAGGCTGAAGGATGATGAGCCGAGCAAATTGTTCATCTCCTCCGCCAGCGTCGACAGGCCGCGCTTGGCTGCAGCCACCACGCGGGCGCGGGCGGCGGTGAACTCGCCCTCATCCAACTGGAGGAAGTACTGCTGCTTGATCCGGGGTATCAGGCCCAGCATCACGGCTTCCATGAGCATGTCTTCGTCCGGGTGGATGGCGCGATTGTCTTCGTTCGCAAACCGGGAGCCAGGAAGCTTGGGCGCAACATTGTCCGCGCTCACAACCTTGTGGACTCGCTGCTTGCTGAATTGCGCGTGCGGCGAGAGAGTCTCTTTCCACCCGAGCTGGGGCGCCGTGGGGTCCAGCACAACAGATACACCGCAGGGTAGAGTGACTAGCGCGGCCTCATAGACCAGAAGGGAGTTGAAATAGTCTCCCTCTTGGCCCCTGAACCTAGCTACTGTATGGTCGAGCCTCCGTCAGCAAACTTTGTCTTGTCTGGAAGTTCCGCGTTGCCCAGTGGGCTTGCGTTCAATGGATGGCCAGACGTGGGCTATTGGCCTGGGATTGGAGTTTCTCTCCCAGCACTTACGTCGGATGAGCATCTAAATCACGGCCTTCGCTCCTGTGATGACCATGCCGCAGCTTTTGTGAAGCGCAGCTGCCACTCCGAGGTCGGGTGACGAGGCGATCTCCGTAGGGAATCGAGCCCAGAAGGGAGACTGCTGAGGAACGCGGGTGTCTCATGTGGCCTTCACCATGACTAGTCGTTCTTCTCGGCAATATCCTCGATGATCCTGTTGTTGGAGAGAGTGATAGTGATGAAGTACTTAAAGATCTCACGGAAAATGGAGCTAGCACGGTAAATCTGCCAAAGCTGCTTGCAGAAGTCCTTATGTGTCTTCCAATGCTTGACTTGGCACGCCTTGCCCGCAGTATCCCGTCTCAAATATGCTGTGCCCGTGCCCTTCGAATCAGACAGCCCGAGCAGCTTACATTGGCATCTTTGTCGCCGCATTTCTTCGATGCCGGGTCGTGACTGAGAAAGGCCTTGGAGCTTGCTTTCGCGGCACTCTTCCTGTCGGACTCGAAGGTCACAATGAAGGGCGATGTCCCATCCTTTCGGCCTTCAGTCATCCACTGACAGTATCGGAGCTGTCGCGCCTTGTTGTAACCATCATTGGAAGCCACACCAGCTTTGGCGAGTGCGAGGGCGGCGAGTTGCTGGTAGAGGCAACCGGCCGACCTCATCTCTGACAGCATCGTCTTGGCGTGTTTGAGGATGTATTCGAAGTCGGGATCGACAGAAGCTCGGTACATGCAGTCGATAAGCAAAATGATTTGCAGGCCCTGTGCATGGTTATAATGGCAGACTCGTATTACCGTAATGCGAAGTCCTGTTCGGGAGTAACAAGATATCCGAAGAACCTTTCGACTGGGTCCCACGACTTGTTGTGGACTGCTGCCCATGCCTCTGGGTCGTCGTTGATACGAAGCGAATCCATGACCTGGGTAGTCGAATCTGTCAGCGAAGCTTCGATGTGAATAAATTGAGGGAGGGAGAAGGACGGAAAAAAAACTTACGGATGGGTTGAGTCAAAGAGGTGAGGCTTCTGCCTGCAACGGTTCGGAAGACAGGTAACCCGTTGCGGAAGCAAGAACTCGTATTTGTCTCAAAGGAGGTATTGAGGCTGGGATGAGAAGCAAAAGCCCTGGTTGTCCACAATTGACTTTGCAATTGAGGGCATCAAGCTGAATGTGGGCATGGAAAGAGTCAGAGTTATTGGCTCAGAAGTTGGCTCTGATTGTAAATCGGACATCGGCTTTATGCCAGCAGCCACCCGCATCATGAGAAGCCGGTGATTCTGGATCAACAGTTTGTATTACCTATATGTGATGCGAAGGTTGAACTTTATGGCGAAAACCGAGCCTCAAGCCCCTGATATTACCGTCAAGGCAGATATGATGCTCGACCGACTATCTTCTCCCGACCTTGCCTACCTCAAGCCTAGGCGTTTGTCTGTTCTCGTACATGATGTTCTACAAGCGATGATCCCAGAAAGCACTCCCAACTTCTTGCATGTGCCATGACGGCCCTGGAAATGTCGGGCGAGCGTGCTAACTCAGCACGTAACGGAGTGAAGGCTGGTCGATAACACACACTCTGATCGTTAGATCGACGCTTCACCACGGCCAAGTCATCGGCCTCGGTGATCTCCTCCAAAATACAATCCTGATACGTTGCAGGAATGTGAGAGCGAGGAAGTGTTCATGAATGTCCCGGAACAGCGACATGGCGCGGTAAACTTGGCGCATCTGTCGAGACAAGGAATTGTGCTTCGTCCAGTGCTGCCGCTGGCATTCCTTTCCGCAGCAAGATATGGCGAATGGCGTGTGCTTGTCGGTTCGGATTTGACATCCTGAGCACGGTCGGTGGGCCCCGTCCCCCCCCCCTACCCCCCCACTTCTTTTCCTTTTCCGCACTCGGCCCAGTGGTTGAGCTCATCCCACTCAGGCAAGACTGCCTTGGAAACGCTCGGGACAGGACATACGTCGGATGCTAGACCAAATTGCGCCGTCTCGTCCTTGCGGCCATGGGCTTGCCACCGGCAGAATCGAAGGTAGCGAGCTTTGAGGCTATCGTTATCGTCTGCGATGCTTTTCGTGACGGCAAGCACAGCAAGTTCAGCAAAGAGATGCCCAGGTGGGCTACGCTTAGTTGTAGCCTCCTCTATAATCTCCAGGAGATAGGCGGAGTCGGTGTCAGAAGATGGACAACTTCGACTCCTTCACGAAGTGCGTGACAGCCAGGTTGGTGCGCAGAGTTGCCTCCTGGGTGAACAGGGAGAAGAAATCCTTCTTTGGGGGCGGCAGCCGTTTGAACAAGGCAACGACAAGATCGCTCGCGGCCGCACTGTCATCTGGAGCTAACGTCATTGCGGCCATCGCGTCGGCGAGCGCCCCCAAGGTCACGGGTACCTGAAACTGAGTCCTGTGGCCCGGACATGGATTCATGATTAGCGAATCCTCCGGAAGAGAGCGCGGGCTATGCTGTACACCTACATGTTATCAGGGCTTCTTGCGGATCGACGACTCAAATCCGCTCCGTTGCTGGCAGTACTGCAGCCGGTCCAGTCTCTCAGAAAGGTCGATATGACCGATAACCGCAGGGTTTCAAGTCAAGTGCGGAAAAGAAGGTTGCTGAATGCGATGACCTCTGCAAATGCAAGCGGGGAAGGGCCGAGTGCGAAGGAGAGAGAGATTGGAGCGAGAATTGGGAAGAGAAATAAATGGAAAGGAGAAATTGGAGGGTGGCTGACGATATCGGTTGCAAGATGGGAGTGGCCAAAAAGCCAAAAACCACTGGAGATCTGACGGAAAGAAGAGGAACTGGCAGCCTCTTGTGAAAAGCGACGTTTTCCATGGCCAAACAAACGGCAAATAACGATGAATGTGAATACGAAAAAAAAAAGGAAAAAAAAAAGTCTGGGTACCTGTAATGCAAGACTTTAGGGAGTGAAAAGTTGATGCCGGGGAACAAACTGCTTCTGCACAATCGGGGTTTCTTGCGACTTCCACCCGATCAGCTCAGTTTCGAGAACAAGCAGCGGGGCTTCGCCGACTTCAGTCCGCAGACATCTGAACCTCTTCCAACCCGGGATCCCCAAGAGCATCCCCAAGTTTGACCAACGTATTCTCGTACACCCGCGCGACGTCCATATACAGATCCTCCTCCTCGTCGTCCCAGAAGCCCTTCCCTGCTCTCCGTGGCCCATTGTGTCCACTCTCGTCCTCCTGTTCTTCATTTCCATCGTCTTGCACGCCCTCTTCCTCATCGACCGCCTTGCTCATGACATCCACAATCACGATGCGTCCTTGTTCAACAAGACTCCTGCAGCGGACCATGTCTGTCCTGCTCATGCCGGCCCGGGGACCATTTTCGAAGCCCGGGAGGGGCTCATGAGTTTCAACGTCCTCGCCTGATAACAAACTGGCAAAGCAGTGATCGAGTTTGCGCAGTATCGCAAACGTGGCGGTGGGTGATGCCGGAAAGCCGGTTACCCATGTGTTGAATTCGCTGGCAATGTTGAGGAGGAAGGGGACTTGGAGGCTTGCTGGGAGGCATCAGCAAGGCGCACCCGTACCTGACAAAAGAAACGCTACTTACGCGTGCCAGACAACCAAATAATGTCAATCACACCCTCGAGATCCTTGCACAACTCGGCCATGGTCTTGTAGCCTTGCACATCCTCGCTGCCCGGCGGGGCGTTGCCCTGTTTTTTGACAAACCGCCTGGTAATGTGTTCCATGCGGCTGGCTACAAAGTGACGCACCTGGTCCTCTTTTGCCGAGCCCGGACGGAGGGCATGGGCGCGTGGGTGCGGCAGGCCGGCGACGGATCTGACGGTGGATGTGCTCGGAGCGGGGGACGGCATTGATGGCGGCATGAACCCGCCAGGGCCGAGAGAGTTTGGGGTTTCAGCCATTTTCGAATTCAGGTACTGCTATGTGCGGGTATATGATATGTTCAAACAGACATTGCATCGTCGTCCTCCTCAGGCCCACAATGTCAACATCAGTTGATGAGTGATGGAGGCATGTGGACGGAGGGGTGACTTTCGATGTCATGAGCGCGGGTTCCATCGACTTATCTTATCAGAGCTCGGCGCCAAGAACTGCCCAAAAACTGTACAGGAATTCCGAGTCCGTGCGTTCCCGAAATTTCACTTTGAGAAGCGCATCACCGAGTTCAACTTTCAAGCTTTCCAGTCGGCGTCACAACTATCAAAACAATACCCACTCACATCACAATGGCTCCCAAGCGTCTCGGCGGCTCGCGCCGCTCCTACAACCCCATCACTGGCGTCTACAATGCGTTCGTCGTTTCGGAGAACGCCCCCATTGTCCGCAGCGTCACTGCTTTCGGCGTTGGTCCTTCCCGCCCCTTTCCATCCATCGCGATTCCTCTCTGACAGACGAGCAGGTCGCCGTCGCATTTCTTGCTACCGGCTGGGCTGAGGCCATTCTTTGGTCTGTATTCTTCGACCCCGCTTGCGCCAACCATTCTGACACATTTCAGCCCGCAGTAATCGACCGAACAACACGATTCGACGAGAAAGAGGAAGCCATTAGCGATGCAGATAAACACTTGTATGAAGGAGGCTTAACGATGCCTGTACGATATGGGTTAGACGGGACCGTCGCTCGATGTCTAGTTCGAGCGATCCATGGGCGGCGTTCGGCGGATCAATCTCAATGCTAATATTTGACACACCTGCCCCTCGCAATCGGCTGCTTGCAACAGGAAGCCCGTGACTATCGACGGGATCAAAAGCCACACCAATCGAAGATCTACTCCACTTCATCATTATTTGCGGCGATCCATTCTCCATGTCCACCCAGAAAGGCAAACTTCGGCGGATCAGACATGTGATGACTGACTTTCTGACATCCATTCAGATGACGCCTCTAGCATACCGACTCCGCCTGGAGCCGCATATATTATCTCAAACCTGAGCGTTGAAGCCATGGACGGCAAGGGCTGCGAGTCGCGTCACAGGTCCGGCGGATGACGGCTCGTCGTCTTGCCATCCCCGACTGTAACATGAGATCTGGCACACCGTGAAGTGGCCATCATGTCACGACAGCGCGGCATCATTCTCGGCCCAAGCTCGAATCAGAAATTAGAGGAACGTGGCCAGGAAAGCGCAATGAACGATGTCTCGGCTGTTTTCTTTGTTCAAAAGTGCAAGCCCTTTGACAAAACTCGAACAGTTTCTGCCGGCGAGAAGCCAGCGGAAGCACAGAAGTTTGCGCTCATTGTCCACTCCGGTCCTGAACAACGCCATCGTCAGCGGGCAGGATCTATTAAAACCGACTTACATCCCTTCCTGACAGGACGTCAGCGTCTTCCAAGCACGACCACACAGAGACGCCACTCACAACGAACTCCAAGCCAGCAAGTCTCAACCAACTAACCCTAGCAAGATGCCCTCCAGAAACAGCCGCCGTGGCATCCACCCACCCGTTTCCCCCGTCCAACCCCCTTCGTCAGTCTACTCACAACAGTCCCAGCCATCAATCCCCGTCTCGCTGCCCTCATCCGCCTCAGGCAAAAATGCAGGCGCAGGCACATATGCCCAGTGCCCATCCATGATCGGCCCGTCCCGGCCCCGCCCCTCTTCCTCCGCCTTCTTCCACGGCATGGCAGTATCCCCGGCTCCAGGTTACGGTGGGCTGGGTGGTTACGACGGGACATACGACCACCACCTCCCTCCCTCCCCAGCCCCGTCTCAAATGCCCTTTCCCATCCAACAACCCCGCGGCTTCTTTCCCAATGCCACCAACGGCGCCGCCGCTGCTATTGACCACGATAACAACAACAACAACGGCAACAACAACAACCTACGCACCAAGACAGAGGCTGACAAACCCAAGTCCAAGGCAAGTATTACCTTCAAGACCAAGACCAAGACCAAGAGCATTACCGGTACAAAGAACCAGGTCCTCAAAGTCAACCCCTCCACCCTCTCCACCAACGCAAAGGTAGGTATCTTCTTGATGGGCACGACGCCCAAGAAACTGGAGAAGGCCGCGCTGGCGCTGCAGGTGAGGAGGAGGTGGGAGAGGGCGGAGAAGAAGAGGGCTCGGAGGGAGCGGAAGCGTGGTGCCGGTGCGGGTGATGGCCGTAGTGGGCATGAGGAGGGGCAGGAGGCTGATGGGGGTTATGGTGATGATGAATGGGAGGTGGAGGAGGGTGGGGAGTGGCAAGGGAAGGAGGAGTGGTGAGTCTGTCATTGTAAGGCTGTGGGGAGAGGGGTGTTGGATGGAGACAAAGGGAAGGGAGTTAGGTGAGGAGAGGGGCAAGGTCATCTTCCTCGGTGGGAGGACTGACCGTTGTGAAGTCCAAATTTCCTGCTTTGGTGCCGAACAGGAGACTCAATTAGTTCTCGGGTATCATACCATACTTGACGAGAAAATAGACTTATGTATTTTGCACTATCTTAGAGAACTCGATCCCGGCTTGCGAAGCTAAAGTGACCATGTTCCGCAACGAAATCGTGATATGGACAAGCGTTGACTCGCTAGAAGACGCTAAGATGGGTGATGTTTCTGGACAATACTCTTTACACGTATGCCTCCCTCTAGATGCCCGCTCTGAGCTCTATCATGCATGACTACGCCAAACGCCCGCTCTCTTCCATGCCGTATCCAGTATTCGCTCTCCTTACACCTAATAGTTACAAATCCCGCCCACATCCTCATCCATTGTCCAACTGCCCGCGAGACCAGGCAGCGCCACCTCCTCCGCCTCGGCGGGGTTGACCTGCAGACCAGCTCCTTCGTCGGGCTTACCAGCAAAGAAGTCATTCTGGCCCTCGGTCCTCGGCTGGCGGCTCATAAACCGCCTCGTCCACTCCTCGATCGCCGGCTCGCCCGTCTCATCCCGCGCCTGCTTCAGGAACGAAATCAGCGCCGTCCCGCCCGTGCCTTTGAGGTTGGCACCGCCCTTGTTCCCAGAGGCAGCAGCAGCAGCGTCCTGTTGAGCGGCGGCGGCGCGGGCATCGTACGCTATGCCTTGCGGCTGAGCGCGCTGCCGCGAGGCGGTCGCCAGGTTGACCTTGTTGCGCGTGGCCTCGGGGCTGCGGCTGCGGGCGCGGACCTCGCGGGAGGGCAGCACAATGTAGCGCGTAACGATGGCAATGTGCTTGTCGCGCAGGGCGCGGAGCATGGACAGGCAGGCGTCGTAGGCGACGCACAGCGGGCGGTTGTCGCTGTGCTGCTCGACAAAGTCGCGGATGTTGGCGACCGCCTGCACGTCGTTAAGGAAGCGTGCGTGCGGGCCCGGCATGTAGCGGCGCATCTCCATGATGAAGTTGTGCTTCGGCGGCGGGGCGCGGCCCACGCGCTCTGCGTCCTGCGTGGTGGGCTTCTTCTCGCCGGTCGGGCGGTGCTCGATGCCGAGGACAATGTCGAAGAATTGGATCAGGCTGCTCTGCGCGTTGCTGCCGCCCGCGTACTGGCGGTACGCCTCGTTTCCGGAACCGTCTTCGTACAGCACGCCGTTGGGCAGGCCTGCCTCGGCCATGTTCTTGCTGCCGGCAAGGAAGGGGCGGATCCGGTGGTAGAAGATGTGCGGGTCGCAGCTCTCGTGCATGCGCTGGAGCAGCGTCGTCAAGTCATCCAAGCGCTCCGCAAACGTGTGGAGGCAGCGCGTCACTGCTTCGGCGTCATTCTCCCGCGCCGCGGCGATAGCGGTCAACATAAGGGGAATGATGGGCGCTCCGCGGGCTTCCATGGCCACCGAGACAAGGTAGAACCATGACTCATCGAGGGCGCCGGTGAAGGTGGTGAGGGTGGCCAGGTTCTCAAGATTATCAATGTCCTCGTCCATGAAGAGCGGCTTGAAATTCCAGAGACAGACAGCCGCGTAGGTGGCGACGGGCGGCACCTCGAGGTGCTCCGACACCTTGAGAAGTGGGACTGAGATGGAAGGCGGCAGGCGGTCGCTGGGACTGTCACCGCCCCAGATGTAGCCGTGGGCCATGAAGCATAACAGCATGTAGGCTCTGCGCCATTCTGCGTCGTGTTCCAAACCGATGGTAGAGAGCACGGGGAGGCGATCGACGACTCCGCGCAGTCGCTTACTGAGGATGAGGCCCTGCAGGTTGGCGACGATGGCCTCCCATTTGTTGTAGTATGGGTCGGGGAGTCTCGTCAACGGCAGGACGTCCGGGAGGAAACCGTGAGTTGGAGATATTCCATAGTCGGCCAAGACAGGGATGGGAGGAAGCATGGTTTCGGGATATGTTTCGTTGGTGTTACCAAGATGAGGTGCAATTAGCCAATGAAGACGTGCGGGTGACAATTATTGAGTCTCGTATGGTAAACCAAAAAAGTCCTGACGCAAGGAGTATACAGAATATGTCCTGTAATACTCCTCAGCCGTGCGAGAACTGGACGGTGGCGTGAGCATGTAGGAGGGATTGAGGAAATGCAAGGAAGAAAATGTGGTTTGAGAAAGAGACGAGATTGATGACTTGAGTTGAACTCATTCACGCTGAACGCAGGGTCTTCTCGGAGGGGCGGGCTTTGTCATCAAACGAACATCAGCGGCCAGAAGTTCGCCCCTCTGTTTCCACTGTTTCTTAATTTCCAAGAATAACCAAACAAATGGTCGTTGAACTTGTGACCTGGTGGAGAATGGAAAATATCGCAGTCTCAGAAGGTCGCTGTTGGCCAGAAAGATAGGGACACCGCATGCCTCCCACTCCGACTGCGGCCGCAGCCGGGAAGCCTTCGCAGCGTATCGCAGTCAAGCCATCGCCAGGTTTCGCTTTCTCGCGGATTTATCGAGAAACTTCGCAGATTTCAAACCAAGCAGAGACCGGTTGATCGGTCAAAGCGCGTTCAATCCAGACAACGTCGGAGAGTTGCGGTGCGGGAGCTTGCGGGATGACCGACCGTTTGTTCCACGATTTGCATGTGGCGGTCCTTGTCCTCAGGTGACCCGAGATCGGCGCCCCGCGATTACCCGGCAGGCAACTCGGAGCTGGGTAAGTCATTATGGAAGGAGCTTTGGCCATCTCTACCCTGGAACCGTCGTCATGGCGCCAAAACACGCGATGTGCGGAGGGGCAGGAAGGCTAAACTTTCCTCCACTTTGGCCGTTTCCAGGTTCGGAACAACACAACGATTTCCGGCCATGCGACGATAACACCGAGCCGCAGTAGCACCAGACAACAATGGTGGTCCAACAACATGTCCTCAACTGGCTCTACAGCGTCCTGACAAGTGTGCGCCGTCCACAATCATCGCAGGATTGAACTCCAGTCGTCGATTGAGGATAAACCAAGCTGACCGAGTCCTCTCGCCCAGGAATACCATGATGTCAACCGGACATACAACGATGTGGCCCAGGCCTTGTCGCAGTATCCGTCGCTGTCCCCCAGGACTGATGTTCACAGTATGTTTCTGCCCGCCTCCCACTCCTGCGAGCTCCAACCTATCTGACCACTCTTGCGCAGCCTTCCCCAATGGCACCTCGGCCCTGCTCCTCCATCTGTCAGGCACAATACCGGTCCTCTTCCGCGGCGCAACCTATCGCTTCCCCATATCACTATGGGTGCCCCATGCTTACCCGCGCGAGCCCCCCCTGGTCTACGTGACCCCGACCGCGACCATGGTCGTGCGCCCCGGCCAGCACGTCGATCCGCAGGGTCAGGTTTATCATCCTTACCTTGTCGGCTGGTCAACCTTTTGGGATGTACGTTGGGCTGGCATGAGGATGATGATCAGGGGAGGCTGATTAACTCGCTAGAAATCCACCATTCTCGACTTCCTTACCATCCTCCAGGGCGTATTTGCCAAGGAACCACCTGTTGTCGCCCGCCAAGGTCCGCCACCTCCCACCCAGCAGACACCTACTCCTCCCCCTGTGCCCCCGCTACCGCCAGATCTCGCTCCAACACCGGCCAGTCGCATGAAATCTGCCAGTCCGCAAGAAGCTAGGCCACCTCCGCCCCCGCCGAAGCCTGGGACTCAAATTGTGCCCCACCAGCAGCCGTCCTCGGCTCCCGTACAACATGTCGGCCCGGCAGCCCCGCCGCCGCCGCCCAAGATTAGCGGTCCTCCAAACCATTCTGTACAGGAGTCGGCAAACATTCCTCAAGAGCAGCCCGCTCGAGCTGGGCCTTCGCGGTATGATGCAGCACCGCCGCTGCCGCCGCAAGCGTCACACCCTTCCCCTTCATCCTCGCCGAGTGGACCACTGTCTCCTCCTGCGCAAAATCTAGGTTCACAACACCCTCCGCAGTACCATGGTCCTCCACCAGCTGGTTTCCGATCAGGCCCGCAGCAGCCACCCTTTCCACCCACCGACCCCCGACGAATAGCCACCTCCACCCAGCCACAGACATACAACGCCTCTCACCCAACCTGGCAACAGCCACCACCTCCCATGCAACCTCAGTCTACGCCCAAACCGCCGCCTCCACCAGACCTAATGGACGACGACTTGACTCTTGCCATCCCCTCACCGTCAACCGTGGCACCACCACCAATTCCGCCCAACCCGGAAAAAGACCATCTCTTACACCAGTTGGCCCAAACCCTTCACGCTTTCCGGCAGAAGACGCGCTCTCAGAACACCGCCTCCCTGCAGGGCCTTCAGGCGCAGCGCGCAGCCATGCTCCATGCCATGACAACCCTGCAGATGGAAGCCGCCCAGCTCACCCAATTAACAAACCTCCTCACCTCCAACACATCCATCCTGCAGGACTCTCTGCGCAAGGCCGACAAAGTCATTCAGGATTCGGCCAGCCACCCGAAGCCGGACATCGACGAGTTGCTGGTCGCGCCGACCGTGGTGGGCAACCAGCTGTACGAGCTCGTCGCAGAGGAGCGCGCGCTGGCGGACGCGATCTTCATGCTCGGGAGGGCTGTCGAGAGGGGCCGGATTGCGCCGCAGACGTTTGCGAAGATGACGAGGGGATTGGCGAGGGAGTGGTATCTGAAGAAGGCGCTGGTGAAGAAGATTGGAAGGGGGATGGGGCTAGCCGGGTAGTACTGGGGCACCTTCTACCCTGGTCATCTTGAAGAAGGGTGGTGAAGTTGTGCGGGCATGGGGGGAGGGGTGATATTGGTGTCCGATGAATTGAAGTGTTGATATGGAACGACTGCGGTGGTTTTGGGCGTGGTATTGCGACTGGAAGCTAAATGCTAGAGCCGCCAAATGCTTCTCATCCCTCTGTCCGGATGGACTTGAACTTCTCATAGGGAGCTTTCACCAGTAGCACACTACAGTTTAAACATCGTTTGTTTGTTGGCGCGAAACTCAGGTATCTACAATCTTCCTTACATCTTCCACTTCCGCTTTCTTGTGTTTTTTCCTCTTCCTCCTTAACTTTGTATTGCTCCCCCTCCCCCTACTTCTGTTACGGATACACATTAGCATCATCTTCTATACGTTACCTTACTTTTATCTTCTCTCTTTGTTCTCTCGACTTACTTGAAATCCTTCATGTCTACCCCGGCCATGTGTCACGCTAACGGGCAAACCAGACCTGGGTTGTACCGTATGCTGCGCTCGTTGTCGGAGAAGGCAATCTATTTGCTGCTGAAGTCTAGTTCGTCCTACCGATTTATCCAGCAGCCTACACAAGACTATCGGCTTCTAATCCTGATCCATCTACCAGTGCTAATGTTGGGAGTCAACACATACTATGGATAACCATCGCATCTCGAAACAATACATACTGTCCCACCCAGGTGCTGATAACTTTGCTCTCCTCCATCATCCAACGGCAAATTGCCGCATAAGACCACGACTCACTACACCGGCGCCTCCGCCCTCTTGATTTCCTCAAGCATGTGTCCACCACCAACAGGCGCGCCAAACTTCTCAATTCTGGCCAAGTCCAGCACTCTCGACGGGCGCGGATGAAGCAGCCGACACTCGGGCGTCGCCACCGGCACAGCCGGCTCAAGGGGCACCACAGACACAGCGTCCTACTCCGAGCGATGAGTTCCCGTCGTCAGCACACCTCGACTTATCTCTCCAAGGCCGTGACCACGGCCATTGCCCCGCCTCATCTCTCCGTCTCTCGCAATACTCCTCCCCATTTGTTCTCCCCGTCTGCCAACAGCAATGCTGCTACCACCAACCTGCCCTCGGTGACCATCAACGGACGCCTTAGCCTGCGAATGAGATGAAGCGAACGCGGGCGCAGGCGCCTCTAAATGCACCAAATACGGCGTAGAGAAAGACGAAGAACTCGCTTGGCGCGCCTTGAACCGCCGCCCAATATCCAGGGCCGCTGCCGCCGCGCGCTGACCCCAGCTCATGCTCTTGCTGGCATGGTGCTGATGATAGTTTCGTGCACCGCCCAATTTGGGGTTGGTAATGTCGTGGGCGTGGACGCGCGCCTGGCTTAGCACGGGCATGGCGGCAGCTGTCTTTTTGTACGACTCGCCAGAAGCTCTGCTGAGGGAGTTTGTATAGCGTGCGCGTTGGGTGGAAGGTGTGTCCTGGTTGATGGATGGACTTTGGGGTGCTTTGCTCCATGCAGTTCTTTCGGAGCCTCTAGGATGGGGGATCATGCGTGCGGCCTGTGTTTGAATGGTTGCAAAGGGGCCTGGTGCAATCTTGGCTGTCTTGTTGAGAAGCTCGGCGGTTTGAGAGGTCCTGGGCTTCGGTGTGATAGCTGCGGTAGACCGGACCTGTTCCTCTGTGCCGTGAGACCTTGAGATTTTCCTTAGCGTGGCCCTGATGGAAGAACTTGACTGGCGTTTGGGGCGGGAGGTGAAGCGGTTTGATGTCTCAAGAGGAGTGACATCGGCGCCCCTGAATCTTGGGATTCGCGAACTGCCATGATTCTTGGAATCTTCGCTTCGGCGTCTTGCTATAGAGAACTTGCTTCGGGTGAAAGAGAATGACCGTATGGTTGGGCCTCCCAACTTCAGCTCCCACGATGGCCGTTGTTTCCCTTGTGGCTGAGTATCGTAATCCGCACACTTGATGGGCATCTTCGCCTGAGCCATGGGACCACCACTGGTCTCTCCGACAGCAGGCTGGCAGATCTCCTCAAACAGGTGAATCTTGTCCATGACCGGCGACTCGTGGACTGCCGCCGCTCCAGTTCCGACAAGTTGTGACGTGATTTCTGTGCCACTATCTAGAATGACCCTGCTGTAAAATGTCTCCAAGTCGAAACGACGGCCAACATCGAGGTTTCTGCGAGCTGCCAAACTGGCGGAAGACGAAGTTTTTCGAACGGTGCTCCGCTTGCTGGCGGCAGTCGTGGTTGACACGATAATGGGCAAGCTCGGACTTGACTTCAATGTGCCCATCTCCATGCGGGTCTTCCATTGAGGCAGATAAGGGGAGTAAGCGGACTCCATAACCTGGCTGCGCTTTTTTGACATATCTTTAGAGTCCTGCGGAAGTCTTCGGATCGGCGACTTTTGAGGAGTGAGCCTCGGACTCGGGCGTATGGTGCAGGCTTCGACCGTGACCGTCCTTGATAGTAGAAGTGGCGGCAACTCTCCTGAGCCAGAGGGCGATGACTCTCTTGAAGCGAGGTGCTTGATATTTCCGCGTCTGGGTGACTGTTCTGCTCTGGTCTGAATGGTTCTCGTGAGCTCATCAACAAGACTGGCTCTGAGTGCTTTGCCCTCGGAGTGCCTAACGGTAGCATGATTATCGTCCGCGGCCCGACAAAACGGAAGCTTACGTCTCGGCCCAGGAGGCTGGACAGAAGCAAGCTGCACTTTGGGGTCGGGGACAGAGAGCCGATCACTCGATATAGAAGTCCATCGGGGCTCCAAACTGCCTATCGTGGTCAGTTTCACAGGGTATCCAGTTCGTGTCCGAGCTGGTGTCCTTGAAAGCGAGGTACTGGAAAGCGTGGTGGTGTTCGGCCCATTTTGCGGCTCAAAGGCTGTCCGCAAATCTGCGACACTAGGGGTTGTATTTTGAAATCCATTCCGTTGCTGACAGAATCTCTGCGACTGCTGACCGCCCCGGTGATGCTGTGGAGGGGACGCCTTCTTGAGGGGATCAATCAAGGGATTCCGAGTGGTTGCATCACGGTCCTTGACAACACGGAGAGCAGAACTGGACCGATTCTTGTGAGCGGACTCGGCATTGCTAGGTCGCGCGGCGGCGGATGAAACAAAAGGAACTGCGAACCCGACATTGCCTTCGTCGTTCAGAATCATGGCGAAGACAGAGCCCTTGGAGTCCACGAGTGCACTAACCAGAGGTTTGTTCAAAGAGCTTCCTCCTGTCCGTGACCAACACTGGATTCCAGCTCTTCCGGCCGTTCCGCTCCCCTGCTTTGAGCCCGTTCTGACGGCCTGGGGGCTTGTTTTCCTGTTGCAACCCTACAACAACTGGGCGGATCGGATTCTTCGGAGACACCAAGTCTCCCAACCTGTCTGAAACTCCCAAGCAAGGGCCCATATTTTCACGGCAGTCGCTTTCAGCTTTGTATAGTCGGTGGTTGACTGGTGTCCGACCTGTCATGTCCTCCAACGGCAGGGTGGCTGCAGAGACTCGATCACGGGCGTCGCTACCGGTTCTTGACGAAGAGACAACGCGCGAGATCGAATTCGGTATCTTCGTGTGACATGAACCTCGGCCACCTGTGGTTAGCTTCGGAGTGTGGCATTGATGCGACTTGGGAAGTGAAAGGTCCATCAGGTCCGCGGGCGGCGTGGAATCGTGGGGTTTGGCGTTGAACACGGAACCGAGCGCCTCGAACTTCGAAACCAATGCGACGAGGGCACCGGAAATCTTGGGAGACAGTGGCAATTCGTGACTGATGTTTGTTTGGCTGTCCATCTCGGAAGACGCTTCGTCGATTCGTTCGAAGAAAGGCGCGAACACATTGTCACAATCAGAGATTTCGCTCGATAGACTCTTGCGGATGCGCAACGGCGCCGGCTTTAACTGTGAATTTGAGAAGTCTCGGGCGAACTGATCTTCGATACACTCCATGGACGGATTTGAATCTGACTTTGCCTTGGCTCGTGGGCTGTTCTGGTGTTGCTCGAGGCAGGGCTTGAGAAACGCGAGAACGTGAGGCGGGCAACGAGCATCTGTAGTCGACAAGACCGTCTCGATAGCGATGGGATCAGGGAGTACGCCTAATCGAGCAACAGCTGCCAGTGTTGCGTGAGGTAAGATTGTGACTCTTCGGGAAGACTCCATGTCGTCCACGAAGAGGCGGCAGGTCGGTGCCGATCCTTCCAGGTTACGACTGCCTGAGTAGCGAAAGGAGCAAGGGTTACATGTGCGGCAACTTCCAAACACCCGACAAACACAGCAAGGAGTAAGGGCTGAGTTGTAATCCGAAGTCGGAAGGTGCGATCTTGGTCGAATTACCTGATCCGGTAACCGCGCTTCCATTTCTTTGATTGGAGAAAGATATTGAAGTCAACGCAGTCTGAGGTTCCAATTGCCCTATCCGGTATAGTGTAACGGTTAACATATCGCGTTTTCACCGCGAAGCTCGGGGTTCGATTCCCCGTACCGGAGGTTTTTTTCTCAGGAAATCTCCTAGTTACGCCACAGACATTAACTAGCAGTAGTTATTCCTAAATCAAAGTTGGGGTTGTTGTGTTTCATGTGTTGCACCAGTTAATTACTCCTACTTGGTGCTATTATCGTAACGTTTATCTTATCCCAGTCATATTTTAAGTCCTCTTCCTACATGGTGCCTTCCTAGGTGAGAAGAAAGAATAGTTAATTAACTTGTTTGATTCAGATGGTGATCTCTGGTATGTCATGCATTTTGCTGCCTGCGCAGCTCGTTTAATTTTTTTCTAAAATTGTTGGTGGCAAAACTGCGTAGTGTTCACTCTCGTTACGACAACCTACCAACTTCTATATCGTCTCTCGGATCAACGCGTTGAAGTTGGAGATAGAAACAGCCAGACAAGAGGAACTGAAAGTTGGAGCCTAGTAAACTGAAAGAGTGTAAGCAGGAGCCAAGATGGACCCCAACTGACTGTTTATGCCCTACCGGCGGACTGATAGAAGTACAAGCTGTTGAGTCTAGATCTCTGGATACACGTCTCTGTGATAATGTTAGAGACATCATAAACCATGCAGCAGCTTCAACTTCAAAACTCACGTCCGTCTAGAGAGCGGCACTTCCAGCCTGACCTTCCGCAGGAGATCAAGATCAATCTCAGCTGTGGCGATGTCGGGCTCACCCGTGGCATCGCCGAGCTCGGCCAAGACCACGCCCCAGGGGTCAACAATCATGCTGTGGCCGTAGCTCACCCGCTTCTCGTTGTGTCTCCCCGCCTGAGTCATCGTCAGCACCAGACTAACAGTAGGGGATGGGTGATCGAGAGCTTGACATGCCTGCGCGGCAGCGATGATGTAGGACTGGGTTTCAATGGCGCGAGCTCTCAAGAGGACTTCCCAGTGTGCCTTTCCCGTCTGGACGGTGAAGGCAGATGGATAGGTGATGATGTCGGCGCCCTGCCGCCTCAGAGCAAGGGTGATCTCTGGAAAACGGAGCTAGACGGCGTCAGTGCGAGAAAGCACGATGAAACGGACTGAGTTGGAACTCACATCGAAGCATATTGTCGAGCCAACCTTTCCCACTGGGGTGTCGAATGGAGGCAGGATCTTCATCCCTGGCTCGACCCATCTGGCGATCAAAACACGGTCAGCCTCGAGGTCGCCCTTCAACCCTCCTTTGTCGCATGCTCACTGGCTCTCCTTGAGGACCGGCCCGCCCTTGATGTCAATGTCAAAAAGGTGAATTTTTTGATATCGGTGCGTAATATCGCCACGCTCGTCGATCCACAAGACCGTGTTCTTGATCCTGTGGGTGCCAAGACCCGGTTCGTGGACCCCCACATGGATGGACAGTTTCTCGCGACGAGCTTCTTCCCGGAGACCCAGGACAAATTCGCTCTCGTGTACTGGCTTGACAAGACGGACCGATTCCTCGCCGGACCCGGCAATGTAGTCGCTTGCTTCGGGGAGGAAGAGGGCCTGTTGATCGCATCAGCAGGGGAAGAGTCGTTGCAAAATGGTGCGACGATGCAGTGGCTAACCTTTGCCCCAGCCCGGACTGCCTTTTCAACGAGAAGTCGGCATAGGGTGAGATTGTGGGCCATGCTGGCCGTTGAGGTCAACTGCCCTACTGCCTGTCCTCATGCCAGGCAGGGAAAAGCAAGGTCAGCTTCAGGGAGTAACAAGAGGTACGGATAGGATTGGCATACAACTCGGGCCATGTTGTTCCGCACCCGCGGCACGCCGCTCAGATCTCAGGTTCTCATAGGTGGGTATGAAGTTCAATGAGAGTCGAGAAATCTTTCCGATTTCCGTATCAGGCAAGTTCACCATGCTGCAGACGAGATGAGGTGGAATAGCGGTTCTGGAAGTAACGATCAGACGACAGCCCCGCACAGCTGAGCGCGGCACATCATTTTCCGAATCCCGACAGGAAATGTGGAGCTTCATCAGCCAAACCTCAACGCCTTTTTCTCGACCAAGCCAAGGCTGATCCAGCGCTTTGCTGATGCTATGCCCTTGCTCATTGAGCGGCCCTGGGCTGGCTACGGGAAATCATTTGTTTTTTTCTCCCACATTTATTTCATTTTGTTTTCCTTCTTCCACTCGTTTTCTCCCTTTCCAGTTTTATCCCTTGCCTTCATTTTACCGCAACCAGCTGCAGGACGGCTCGCCTGCCAAGGATGCCGATTCGTCGATCAACCCTCCCTTGTGAAGTGCCGGCACATGAGCGCCTACGGAGCCACGGGTTTTGCTGATGAGGAGCCGCATTCCTCAGGAGTCAACGTTCACGTTCGTCACTGCATGGCTGAACGCACACTGCAAATTCGGCGCAGGCGCTACTGCGAGGACTGTTCCTGCAGCATCTTGATTAGCGCCAAGTCGAGTGTCACCGAATCGCATCGTAGATTCCAGCTTGTTTCAGTAAAGCCTCTCAGCGACTGTTGCACAAATCGGAGATCCTGTCGGACAAGCAGCCCACGTTGTCCCCAATGTGCCTTGGCAACGGCCATCAGGGCATTTCGGGATGTCCCAACGACGGTTCTGATGACCACCAGGTGTGATACGTATTTGCGACTCACCGGCAGGGACGCAGGGACTCAGGGCCAGAACAGCGCTCGGTGCAATCAGCGAGTCAAGACCGACGTTGTGGTTACCTATGCTACGCTTTCTCAGACCACTCCTGCCCGCATTCCACCAGGGGAACGCAAATGGTCGACCCTTAGGGTTTAGACCGAATATGATAGTTGAGTGTCTGGTGATGACTTCGTGTGAAATCGTGGCGCAGGGTCGGGACGGAACTTCCCTAAGTTCCCTTGGGGTTGCACAACTCGACACTACAGGTACCTCGCAACCCGGTTTTCTCTCCCCTTCTGTTCGAACTAAAATGTGCTATTTAGCATCCAGAGATGTCAGCGCGACTTGTCAGTTGCAGCTTGATCGGCAGCGCAGCGAATTGCGGGCCTATCTTGGGAAGAATACTAAGGGCGCGGCAACAACAATGCTAAGTGGAGATCGACCGATGCGAAACGCGCTTAATCACCTGAATGGCCCACGACTCAGCACACCTCTATTGTCCCCTGCATACTACGTCTTATCGACGTTGCTATTGTTTGAAAACGGCTGCCCCAGTGCCCCAGAGATGAGGGGGATGGCCTGAACCTTGAAATTGTTCTTTGACAGCCAGATTAGGGGTCGCTCTAGGAGCAACTCCTCCATCTCCAAAACAATGAGCTCAACTTCAGGTCCTGGCTGTCATTTGTCACCAGCTCTCAAGCATGGCTCTTGGAGCTCTCATCGTCTTGCCCGTCGACAGACATATAACTGAATTAGACCTGCTGCTCGGCCTGGAATCACCACCAACATCAGCAGATACCGCGAGACTCGCCGTCTCAGCGACTCCTCGCCACCCCGCACTTCACTATCAACAACACCACCATATTGCTCCTCTTTGACCTCTTACCATGAATTACCCGCCGCCGCCTCCCACAGGCTTCAACCCGCTCGTCCAAACGTCGTCCATTCTCTACTCGGACGGCGTGGCCCCAATCCCATTCGGCACCTCCCTGGTCAGCAGTACCTAGATGCAAGCGACCTCCCTGCCCATCCTCTATGGCACCCAGATTGGCGCCAGCTTCATGATGCTGCTCGCCATGACGCCCCAAGCGCGCTTCCACTGGCTGCCCACGCTCATCAGCGTCGCCCCCCTGGCGCTCAACACGGCCAGCACGTCCTGCTCGCCACCTTCTTCACCACCACCTGGGTCGACTTCTACGTCATTGTGTCGTAGGACCCGACCGTGTCCGGCGGTCCGACTACAACCTCAGGGCGGCCGCCACCATCCTGGCCGTCCCCATGACCGTGCCCATCCTGCGGCCCTGTTTGTCCAGGCCTGGTCGATGATGAGGCTCTGCCTATGCTGTACAAGCTGCCGAGGCACGCTCGTGTCGTTGGCCCCTGTCATCGCCACCGTCATGCAGAGCATGATATCCGTCATTCTCCAAACCAGGGGCATCCTGCGGGGGGGGGGGGGGGGGGGGGGGGGGGGGGGGATCTGAGCCGCATGTCCATCGGGGTGAAGAAGACGTATCTGGGGTGCTTCACAGCGTCGATTCGCTGGTTCTGCTTCCTGTTCAATGTCCGGCTCGTCGTGCACATGTGGACCAACAGGAGCATTCTGCCGAGTCTCGAGGGGCTCGAGGCCATGGATGTCTTGGTCATCACCAACTACATTCTGATCTTCGTCCCGGGTAAGTGACCCTGCCTTTCCATCCATCTTCCCCCTTCTCTTTCCTGACCCCAACAAGAAACTGACGATCCTCGATTCCTGTCAGTTATCTTCTCCGTCCTGAATTTCTACGACTGGGAGCCGCTTGGAGCCGGCCTCGCTCACACAACATCCGTCGTCATCGTCCTGCCCCTCGGTACACTCGTCGCCCAGCGCCTCGCCAACCCCGTCCCGGTTCGGCCCCAGGCACGGCACCACTGGCACCACAACGACAGGCGCGACCAAGGGCACCGGGCTGTCTTCCACTTCGTCGCCCTCCTCGCACAACGGCTGGGCCTCGTGTGCCACCACCACCAGCACGGCCAAGCGCCCGCTGCTCATGAGCATCGCGACCGGGACGGCGGCGGCATCCGCCGCGGCGGTAACGAGCAGGGCGCTGTTTCAACGCACATTGCTGCAGATCGTCATCCGAGCGAGGGGTCGGTGGTGTTGGAGAAGGGACGGGCGGCGCACGCTGACCATGGCGACGAATTGGCAGGGAACAGGGGCCACCGAGTTGCGGGGAATCTGGAGCGTGGTGGTGGCGTGAGGGTGGACTGTGCGATTGAGCGGAGAAAGGAGCGCTTGCCGAGCCGTGGCTCTTACGGGGGAGCTGTTGTTCGACGCGTTGGACTGCCCTGTGGAAGGGACAGCGGCGGTTAAATTCAGAGTCCTCCCAGTGTGAATAAAAGGGGTTGGTAATTGGGAATCGGGGTGCGAAAGTCGCGGTATTTGCGGGCTGGGTCATTCAGATAGCATTGAAGCCGGTTTCTATTTATTATCACATCCACTGAGGTCAATGGCGGCCCAGGAAATTTTCTTTCTTCATTTCAGGTACATCTTGTCATGGTTTTAAAGTTGTCATACATAATTCATCCTATACCATCGTGGGCTCTTTACCACCGCTGGGGTCCATCTCGCAGTTTTTACGAAAATATCGAGAATAATTATCCAGCTTAGTTCTTAAACGTTCGTGCTGAGCAGATGATTTGGCTGGCTGTGTCCAATCTTCGATGGCTGCCAGTGGTCACCACAGTAGACAATATTGACGGCCGTAAAGTACGGTAGAAGCAAGTGTCGCAGACATTTGGACGATGACAGGCCGCTGGACCCTCCGAGCTCCCATTTGCAGCCCACGGCGTGAACGACCAATGTCACCAACTCCTCCAAAGAGCTCACTAATTCACACTTTCCTCTTGAGCAGACTCGGCCGGGATTCCCAGGGCCACATCGATGACGCCTCTTGATTTTCTTACTAGCGCGTAACTGAATGGGCAAGGTAAATGATTGAACATGACAAGACATCGCACAGGTTATTTGTTCTCCTCTCTCTTATCCATAATTATTTCCACGTCTTTTTTTAAGTCACTCACGGAACCACTACTGTCCCAGCGACTGCCTCACATAACTCAGCAATAGCGGCCCAACACGCGATGCAATGATGCGGTCGCCCGACAGGCTCGGGTGCACGCCGTCGCGCAGGTCGGACGTGGAGAAGCCCGTATAGCAGTCGGCGATGACGATGGGAGACTCGGTGCTGTTGAGACCCCTGGCCCACTCGGGGATTCGCGCGTTGATTGCCTGGATGCCGTTGTTGTTGAAGGAGGCCGGGATCACCAGGTCGACCTGCCGCGTCACACACGATTTAGCTTCAGTCGGAGTACTGAAGGTATGTAATGAGTGTGGGCAGAAGGTTCAAAACTGACAATGATCTTCATCTTTGGGTTGGCGGCGCGCATAATGCCTACCATCTTGGTGTACGCGGCCATGATGTCGTTGGTGGTGCGGCCGCGGAACACGTCGTTGGTGCCGAGCATGAACATGACAATGTCGGCAGGGGTGCTCTTGAGCCAGTTAGCCAGGTAGTTGTTGGCGATGTCGATGGCCAGCCAGCCTGAGTGGCCCTCGTGGTGCTGATCCCAGTTGGCTGTGTTGGGCTTGCAGTTCTGCGGGTTGCTGTTCTGCGACCCGACGTACTGCACCTGGCCCGCCAGCCCGGCCTCGGCCAACTGGTCCCACACCATGCTGCGCCAACAGGTGATTTCGGTAATGCTGTCGCCGAGGGGCACTGCCATGCCATGTGTCAGTGAGGGCTGGGTTAGAAGAAGGGACCAGTCGACGTACTGATCCTCAGCTTCTGGGCTTGACGCTCGGCAACCTGAACTGGTCCCGCCACTGCCATGCCGGCCAGGCCAGCGGCCGAGAGAATACTGGAGAAGTGCATGCTGAGGATGTTAGGTGAAAGGAGTCAAAGTTGATGGTTTTGGGGACAGTGTCGACTCAGGGAACTGAAGAAGGAAGCAGCTGTTTCTTATCCTATTTGGTAACCCTAAGGCCTGAACTGGATGCATCCCTTCGGTCAAGCGGGTTTACAGCAGAGACAAGCGGGTTTTTCCATTCGACTGAGTGTCGATTTGAGCCGGGGACTAGTTCAACTGGACGCTAACCGTAACCGGTGCCGCACATATATAGGGCTGATACATGGCGACAGCAAGCCCGGACGCAAGGGTGCACTAAGACTACCTGGTTCATATACCGGGTTGAAAGGCCTTGTCCCCATTGGTGGGAGGGTTTGGCCAAGTGACGGTGACTTTAGGCATTATACCGTGGCTCCGAGTCCCATTTACGGTCCCAGACCGTTTCCTTTCCTCCAAGCCGCCTGGTTGGATCCGTAACCGTTAATAAAAAACATGGGTTCTACGCCGGGAAGATGATAAATGGCATGATGGAACTACTGGCTTTTCAATGTATCCCAATCTCGATGTAAATCTCGGCTTTGGGAATCGGGAGCTGGGAATCGGGAGCTCAGCGAAACTAGGTCGAAACGGCGTCGCTTTTTGCGCCCACGATATCACTGGGACCATTCCAACCGTCGCGCGGCGGTAACGGAATGATTTCCCATAGGCGGATAGCCTTTGAATGCCTGAAGTTCCGCGGCTTGAATATGTACAAGTACAAGTACACCATGTTCATCATGTTGCATCACCTTCCCTTGTCTAAGTTTCCAGTGTCACCTAGGTATTGTACCATGGGCTTACTGACTCTCCGGCCTTGCCGCTTCTTGGTCTGGCTCCAAGCAAAGGGCTCGTGACAAATCGACAACCTGCACCTGAACCAGGCGCAGACTACCGAGCGTCAAGCCCAGCTGGACGAGGAAAATTCAGAGAAAATCCCAAGTGAGGAAGCCATACCTCACCTTCTCCAGGCACCACCACATGAAGAGCATGAAATTTCCCGCGGAGGGGGAGCGGTTCAACGAGCTTATCATTTACCCGCAGCTCCAGAGCGCCATGTTCTTTGGCAAGAATATTCCATTGCTGAAGCGGAAGCCAAGGTGGCTGTTGAGGACGACGACTGGAAGCACTTGGATTGGCATCACAACACTAAGAAATGGGGTATCAAGATGATTGACGAGATCAATGAGGACTTCAAGAAGCACAACGAGACGTGGAAATCAGTATTGGTGTCCCGGGAAGGGTTTCGTGCGCCACAACACCGGGAGGGCAAGGAGGTGTGGGGAACCCGTATTGTTTGCTGGGAAAGAAGACAAGGGAGAGTATCTCGGACCGCGATGTACAGGCGACAATGGAACTTCATAGACATCAAAGCCAGCGCAGGCGTTGGTAATGCCACTCGTTTTTGCCAGGTTTTCAAGTAACCTTAGACCCGGGAACCCGAATTAAGACGAGTTGAAGTTGCCTACGGGAAAGTCGAACCATGAATCTGTTTCATCATCGGAGCTCACCGAAGTTATCGAGCGTGCTCGAGATCCCAACCGGGAGCCCGATCGCCGCCCAGGCGTCTTGTCGTTGAATTGCCAACAGTCATACCCGAAATCTACCCCGGCGATAGCGAACATAGCATCTAGATCGCACCCGTCGAGTCTTCGTTCTCCGATGCAACTGACACTTTGCAGATTGCGGAACTGTCCTTGGGACGCGGCTTGGGCAAGACGCATGAATCCAGTTGCCAGTCGCGGAAGCAACCCCTGGGCCTCCACCTTGTCAGCTACCAGGACTTGTAGCGAGACAATGGATTGAGGAAGGAGTCGAGTAAGGATACTGGCATGCTCGTCTGCCGAGTCACCGGCATCGTGGTATGGTAATGTCGCGCTCAGAAGCAAGCTTCGGAGGACGGGAAAGCTGCTCAAGCTGGCCAACAGCTCGGTGGGCGGCCTCCCATTTGCACCTCGCGTCTGCCACCGCGGCGAGATATCGAGATGCAATGTTTGGAGCGTCTCCTTGTTCCTGAATAACTGCGCGACTAAGTCGGATAAAAGGAACTCATCGTCCCTCAAAACTGTTTCAGAGATGTTAGTTGTGGTACGGGTGAGTTTAAAAAATAACAGTGGCTATGCCAAAAGATCAATTCAAGAACACACCAGATTCGTAAGAAAATGTTTCGAGGTTGTCATAGCGAGAGAGGAATGACGCTAGGTCGGACCCGCTCAGCCTGCTATTGGAGATGGAGAGGTTCCGAAGATTTGGGAAGCGACGATTTAGAGGGCCGAGGCCGACAGCATCGCAGATGTCGATATACAAATTTCTGAAAGCCGAAGAAGCCAGCTCGACAATGGCATCTAAACGAGGCTTCACCCTCTCGACGCAACACGTAATATCGAGTGTCTCAATGGGGAGGGTCGAAACGCCGGCCGTCCTCAGAGCTGATGCGGGAACGCACTGGAGAGGTGCACTACAGTGAAGCCGAGGGTCTTGAGATTCGGGAGGCAGGCCAGCAGCAAGCCGAGCAGTTCATCGCCGGAGAGCTGATATTGGTCCGGGGTGAACGGGCACTGCAGCTCTCGGAAAGGACCAACAAAGGCGGAGGCGTCAATGCCACGAACCTGGGCAGCATCGTGGAACACAGCCTCGGCCTCGTCGTCGGAGATGCCGGTGAGAAGGTTGGTGTTGATATGCAGTCGCTTCACCGACGCAGCCCGATTCGGATTCCGTGCCACGGTCCGGAGGAACTTTGCGAGACGCCAGTCAAAGTCATATGTATCTCGCTAGGAAAGACGGAGACTGTATCCCTCATTGCCAATACACCTCAGAGACGGTTGTTGAACAAGTCTGAAGACCCCTAGATAGACTGTAGCCCTGCTGCGCTGGGGCATCGCTAATTACAGGCCCTTAGTGACCGGTATACCAAGGTACTCACTGACACCGTCCATCCTTCTTAGCTCATTTCGTCGTGGATGGGTCGCGCGGCTGTCCCAGAAATCTTATGAGCGCTTCGGTGGTATTCCTGGCATGTCCAGGACGTTGCCCGCTAGTATAGGCACAAACCACCATCAGCTCGGCTTCACTATCAATGACCAAGCATTTTCAAAGTCAATGCCGAAGACATCCGTCGCGCGCTGCACAGTAAATTTGATGTCAAAGAACGTTCACTGTAGCGCCGAAAGGATACCGTGTATCGACGCGTAGGCCAACTTGCTGCGATGCGGCAGAGCAGGAGATTCCCTGGTTAAATGAAACAGCAAGTGCTGGTCATCCAGAAACCCTCCCCAATCCAGTGAGGAAGTGGCAGCGAGGAAGGAATCACTAGCAAAGAATGAGTTTTGTTTGGCTTGGTCTTCCTTCTCACCACAATGCCGAGGATACGATGGCCAGCCCCTCTAGGATAGCCCAAAGCAGGCGGGATATAACCTGGAAGCGCGAAAGAATTACTGTATTATTCTTCTTACACCACAGGGGCGGCTGCCCCGCTCAGTTAGAGCAAGCAGTCCCTCCTCGTTGTTTTACATGCATTGCATCCTCTCGCAGTGCTGCGCTTTCGCAGCTTAAGGGCTACGTAGGCGCTCCCTACAATTCTTCCCATCCAACGGCCCGGAACTCACCTTTCCGGCTTGGTGACGACGAAGTTGTCGGCGGCCATTCGGCCGTGTACGTCATTTTGGGCAGCTCGCGCTGCGCATCCGTAGCTCTAGCGTGGCGCTAGAGCCCTACAAATCTCCTTTTCTTCCTCTTCTTCCTAGGCACCGTTGGGTTCTCATTCCCTTGGTCTTCCGCAGGGTCTCTCTCTGCCCCCTCCCGTTCTAATTCCACCGCAAGCCGGTGATCCTACCGCGCAACTATCCGCGCTGCGTCCGGGTGGTTCCCCAGCGCCACCATTAGGGCGTGTCTGTCTCTGAGGTCTCCCATGTCTAGCTCTGGGTCTGGGCACTTGAGCACTGAGTGGGCGCCGTCTCTGGGGCACGCCCGCAGCGGCAGAGTGGCATGGGCACTCCAGGGACCCGTCTCTTAAAGAGGAACCCTCTTAGGCCAATCGCTCCTATGTGAGATTGTGTCAATAGTGAGCTTCTCGCCTTAGTAAGTCCCTAGTGGGCTAGTAATGGCTGCGCCGGAGGTCGAGCGTGTAGAGGTAGGCCGCCTCCCTGTAGCGGTGTGGGCGTTGTGTGTCCGCACTCTCCATCTGTATTTTCCGGTGGTTCTTCCACTCCTCGATCATACAGTGGGGGTCCAAAAGTCTGGATTCAAGCCCCAACCCAATTTAGGTACGCGACACGACCGCGTTACTATCACCTTTTTTAATCTTCCACCATTCCTCGCCAAGACGCGCAACTTGGCGGTGCCGGACTCGATCTTGATAATATTATTATTCCTACACCGCTGTGCCCTAGGGCGTGCCGGACCTTCAACAACTTA